GAGGGGAATAGTAGTCAGTGCTGATGATATGCCTACAAGGCCTAGCATGCCTTTCAAAGAAGCTTGGACTTGATCCTGTAGTAAATTAAGGTTAAATTTAATTTTAAACGTGCTCAGTTGAAGGTACCCTTTGAGGTTGGTGCTATAATCCCATTTTACAGAGGTGGAAACTGAGGTTCGTGGAAGTGAAGTAACTTGCCTAGGGCCACACAATACGGAAGTGTCCTGGTCAGTATTTAAACTTGTAAATAAATAAACTGCAACGATATTTAGGTACTGTAATGGAGGTGTGTAGAGGATACAGGAGAGGTATGATTTAAGAGTGGTCCATTGTACAGGGGAAGAGATAGTACTTGAACTGTAAGGATCAATTGTTCAGTAGGTGAACAGGGGACTTGGAGCAGGAAAAAGAGAGGGCAGACATTCCAAGTAGAGGGCAAAGCATGTGTAAGCCATTGAGGTGTGAGACAGCACCTGACCCCCAGGTATTTCCTTATGACTATAGCCGAGAGCACTTATAGTTTAGTGGCAAGAACAGTGGGGTGTGCCATAACAAAACAAGGCCTGAAGGATGGGTGGTGAATGTAAAGGGAAGAGAGGCATGTGTGGAGCTCTGGTTGTGATACCCATTGCATTATAAACAGCCACCCATGAAGGCCTGAGCCCAGACTAAATAAGTAAGGACAATAAGGAGAGAACAGATCATAGCTGCAAAGACGGTTCTATGTGTGATGAAGGCCCTGTTTAGGGACAGAATGTAGTCAGTCAGTGGAACTGAGTCTGTACCTGGTTTGGGGGAAGAGATATAATACAGGAAGGATGAAATAGAACATTTCAGGTAAGGGAGCTTGCCATTTGGTCTCAAATCAAAATGATGCAATTTAAGCCCTGGCCGGTTTGGCTCAGCGGTTAGAGCGTCGGCCTGCGGTCCTGAGAGATCCGGGTTCGGTTCCCGCTAAGGGCGCGTACCTCGGTTGCAGTTTGTCCCCGGCCCTGGTCGGTTGTGCGGGTGGCAGCCACTCGATGTGTTCCTTTCACATCGATGTTTCTCTCTCTCTCTCTGTTCCTCTCTCTCCCTCCCACTCTACCTGAACAAAAAGTGGAAAAATGTCCTCGGGTGAGGATAAAAAAAAAATGATGCAATTTAAGAGCCCAAACTGGGCTCTAATGGAAGAGTATAAGTGACGACTAAGTGGGAGGAAGAAAATTCACAAAACTAGTTTTGAAAACGTCTTATCACATCATGAAAGTCAGTGCCTGCTTTGTGCTAGCAGCTAAGAAGACATTTTGGAGAATGAAATGGGCATAAAAGGTGTTTCCTCAGGCCAAGATCCTGAAATGTGTGCACAGACAAGCTGCAGAGGGAAGAAAATTTCTTGCTCAGAGATACTGGTCAATCACTGATTTAAGCAACAATTACTGAGAATAGAGTTCTAGATACCATCTTGAGAATGGGTAATATTTACTGAGCTTCTACTATTGTCAGGCACTGTTCTAAGCACTCTGTATGTATTGATCTATTTAATCTTCACAGCAAACCTATGAAATAGCCACTATTATTATCATCCCCACACATAAAAACAAAACAAAACAGAGGCACAGAGAAGTAAATTAACTTGCCCAAAACCACACTAGTAAGTGGCACAACCAAATGCGACACTACAGATGCTGTAGTATACAACACACATTATCTTGCTAAAGATCACACAACTCTCAGGTGGCAACACTGGGAGTCAAACCCTAAAGTTTAGCATGCTTGAACTTGGGAGACAATCAAGGGCAGCAAGAGCTAGTTAGTATGTATAAGGTACAAATGTGATCTTATTTGGTGGGTGTGGCACTAAGTTGACAGACTCGGTTGTTGGAAAGCTTCACAGAGGAGTGACTTGTTGAGCTGAATTTTGAAGGACTGAGGCAAAGGGATGTAGAGGGACCAGGGGGAATAAAGAAATGGAGGCTGAAAAGAGTCTGTTACTTTCAGGAAACTTCAAGCAGTTTGTACATTTTGGGAATAGAGCGGGTGGCAGGACAATATAGAAAATAAGTCAGGGAGTTAGATCACACAAAATCTTATTTGCTTTTCTAGGAAATTTGAGCTGTTGCCAAACTTTTCCAGTGAAGTAAATGTAATGGCAATAAATAAATAAATAAATAAATATCCCCAGGGAATCCTGGTGAAGCCCTTCAGACTAGCCATGTGCCTCACAATGTCTCGGTAAACAGACTGCATATACAACAGTGGTCCCAGAAGATTATAACAAAGCTGAAAAATTCCTTTCGCCTAGTGATGTGGTACCATCGTAACGTCATAGCGCAAGGCATTACTCACATGTTTGGGGTGATGCTAGTGTCCAGTGTTTGTGAAGTCTACAGTCATTACAGCGGTGCCCTTGGCCTTCTCATTCACTCGCCACTCACTCACTGACTCACTCAGAGCAAATCCCTGCAAACTCTATTCATTGTTAACTGCCCTATACAGGTGAACCATTTTTTATCTAATAGTTTTATTGTAACTTTTGTATGTTTAGATATACAAATACTTACCATTGTTACAATTACAATTACCTACCACATTTAGTACAGTAACATGTTGTATGGGTTTGTAGCTATACAGGTGGCAAATCCTTTCCAAATGTTAGCCCCTCTGTGTTCAAGGCTATCAGGCCAGAGCCACATCAAGCCTTCCAGTTAGGCATGGCCCTGGCCCTACTTCTGGCCTATTTCTAAACTTCAATAGGTTACCCTCCCAAATCTGAAACAGATGGAAGAAAATGTACATCCCTTAGTAGTTTCTCTAGACAGTACTCAGGGGTTGACCCAGGGTGGGCGTTTGGAAGGATTCAGCCTCCGTTCTGCCTGGTGCTGGGATCAGCTCATACGGCTTCTGTGTCCACAGGGCACAGAGAACACATTGTCCATGGGAGGATTATTCTGTATAAGAAGCTCATACAAAGGGAGAGGTTGTTTCCAGCTGCCTGGGGGAGGTGAGAAGGGGGTGGGAAAAGGGACCAGCCTTGCACTAGGGCATTCCTACAGAGTTCAGTTTCTTCGCTCCGGGAGCAGGACAGGCGGTGGGCACAACCCCTCCAGCTCAGTCCTAATGCCGGGACACCTTATGGAGTTGGAAGGAGCACTTAGCTATGGGCCTATCTATCTTGGCTGTTTCCAAAGAAAGTACAAGGTTAACTGAAGTAAGCTAGTTAGGTAAGACAACAATAAACACCAGAAGGGGAAGAAAATGGGGTGACTGGGGCAAAGAACAAAAGAGAGGTTCAACAATGAGGCAATTTCAATCTTAGGACAGAGCTGGAGGAGAGGTCCTAGGCAATGCGTGTCACACAGACATTGATTCAGTAAGCTCCCACCTTCAGCAGGATGAACTCCATGCTGTAGTAAGATCTCTAGATTTCACAGCTGTTGTCCTTTCTCCATTCTAGACATAAACCTGGAAGACAATCTCCTTCTTCAGGGGCCCCAAGAATAGGAGAAAGCAGAGCAGTCAGAAGCTGAGGAATATCACCAGAGTAGGGCAACAGAGCCATCTTTGGCAAATCCTAAATTTGAGCAAGCAAATCATGTCCTCTTCTTCAAAGGAAACTCCATATGTATTCCCTGCTGAGGGAACAAGTGTTAGGAGTGGAAGATACATACTCTCCACCGAGGCAGTTACTGGGTTGTATGGGCCCCAAAGTTGGTGATGCTACAAACGTGTGTGTGTTCCAGAGGATTTGGGGGTGGGGGTGGGCTTGGAAATGAGAGCATGTGCTTTCAAAGTTTAGAATATAAAGATGTGAATGCCTCCAGAATAGAGTTATTTGCTCACAGACACAAGATATAGGTCGGGTCCTGCAAATGTTCCTGTTAGGGCAGGAGGATATTTCTATTCTTGGAGGACAAGGAATTCATTTCAAATAGTGTGGTGGGAATGAAACCATAGACAACAAAGAAATGTGGGTTTGGTGCCTTTCAGCAGGAAGAAATCTTTTGGTGGAATAAAGGACAGCAGTTGCCAAAAGATGCTCCATGGATTTTATTTTATTTATTTAATCCTCACCCGAGGACATTTTTCCATTTTTTGTTCAGGTGGGGGCGGGGGGGGAGAGAGAGACACACACATTGACGTGAAAGGGACACATTGAGTGGCTGCCATCTGCACGACCAACCAGGCCCGGGGACAAACTGCAACCGAGGTACATGCTCTTAGTGGGAACTGAACCCGGGACTTTCTGGACTGCAGGCCGACACTCTAACCGCTGAGTCAAACTGGCCAGGGCCCTCCATGGATTTTAGAGAAGCCTAGCATAAACCCTATGCAATATGACAGTTAGCGTTGATGTCACCAGGAGGAAGGGAAGGGATAAGAAGATGAAGAACGTCTGAGTGAGCTGACAGAGCAGTAAGGCAGAACTGCTAAAGTGGGAGAAAGGTCTGGCATTGCCTCAGAGCCGATGACAGGACTCCCTGTACTGCTGTGTTATATGGTTAGTATACTTTGTGGATACCATTTCTTATCTTTTGTTGTTGTTAGTCCTCACCTGAGATATTTTTCCATTGATTTTTGGAGAAAGTAGAAGGGAGGGAGGGAGACAGATACATCGATGTGAGAGAGACACATTGATTGGTTGTGTTCCACATGACCCCGACATGGGCCAGGGATCAAACCTGCAACCCAGGTATGTGCCCTTGACTGGAATTGAACCTGCAACCCTTTGGCCCAAGGGCTGACTCTCTAACCACTGAGAAAAACTGGCCAGGGCCCATTTCTTGTCTTGATAGAACAGGAATGAATGTGACTTCTGGGACCAGTTTTCCAGTCCTTTGCTGCCACAGCCTGGCAATATTCTGCCTGGCACCAAACAAATGCCAAAGTACTAGCATGTGAATGAAAGAGAACAGAAAAAAGGCAGCTGGAAGGCCGTCCTCATATCTCAGGACTTTTTAGATCAAAGCTAATCATAGATAAAACTTTTTAGGGAGAACAAATTAGAATTATCTTGCAGCAATCTTGAAAGTCTCTGATCCCTTTATAGCTCTCTCAGAAATTGTTGTCAGATAAACCTGACACAATGACCATCAAAATTTTAAAAACTATTCAGAGAAACCCTTTGGTCCACTTATGCTGACTCAATCCCTGCCCTTACCCTCAAAGGAACAAGAAAGGCAGCTTAGACTGGAGACCCAAACTCACTCTGCTGTTTAGCTTTAAAACAGCAGGCAAAGGTACTGGTGGCTGCCCCCTCTCACCATCGATATGGCTCTTACTTGAGGCACAGGCTCACGGGACTGGAGGAAAGCCATCCCGGCTAGAGTCTGGGAATTAGGCATATAATGATAACCGAACCCTGATGAAAGACGACGTGAAGTTCCCTTCTAACTCAAAAGTAAGAAAAATGAGTCTGGGGAAGAAGGGACTTTTTCATGTGCTAAGAAAAACCCTTTCTTACACAGTCCTGCTTGGTAGAGCCACTTTCTAAGGAAGCCCCCACCTAGTGGGCCTTCAACATCTTCCTTCATGTGGGCAGGGTAAGATAAAGGACAGGAGACTTTGCGACTATTTCCCAGGTAAGAGCTGAATTGGCTTCTGAGAAGATGGAGAGCAGAGTAGGCCCAAGCTTTACCAGATGTTCGGGTAGACAGTTCATCCCAGCCTAGAAGCCTCATTGCCTTGGTTGGAGAGATGGCCCGATGGAGCTTGGGCAGACAGTGTGCCTCTATGGACACAGAGGCTGCATCAGTTTCTAGCAGCACAGAATAAGCACAGGTCTCAAGCAGAAGAGTGGTCTATGATCTTGTGTTCACCTGTTCACTACTGACATGAAGCAGTGTCAGATCTGAGTCAGTTCTGGATCAAGGAACTGAGGAGGGCAATAGGGAGAAGTGGCTGTAGAAACTATCATTTATTGAATACCAATGATTTCATATACTGAGCTAAGTATTTTACATTCATTTTCTCATTTTAATCCTCACAACAACCCTATGAGGTAGGTATTATAACCGTTTACAAATAAGAAAACAGGCTCAGAAAAATTAGGTCACTTGCCCAAGGTCATAGGGCTAGTCAGTGGTGGAGCTGGGATTTGTCTGTTGCTGAAAGCCCATGTTCTTTTATTGTACTCATCTAGGTCAACTTTGGGCAAAAGGTAATTTCACTGCCCGGCTCTTCAAAGAGCATCTGGGAATGGATGTTGCTGGCCACACTCACCGCTGGTAGGGATGCATTGAAGCTGACTTGATGTTGGTTTTTATTCCACTTGGCATTTTCCCTAAAAAGAACATGAAGAAAGACGCCCGAAGCATGGTAAGATTTTTATAAGTCAGAAATGCGGTCTCTCAGGTTTCCTTCTGCCACCCCCTCTATCATCTCAGAACCTCTGTGGCATCTGACCCTGGATGGCAAAGCTCAGGGGTGTGGTTCCTCAACCAGCTCTCTCCCTGAAGGTGTCTAGGAGGAAAGGACTGATATGAGTGGGAAGAATGGGAGGGGTCAGATTCCTGCTCACCTACTCCTAGAAAAGCTAGCTAATCCTGTGTGACCCCCATTTAATGTCACAGCTAAAATAATATGTTCTCTCTTATTTTAATCACCCCTTTTCTCAGACCACTTGGAGGAAAAGATCTCTTCTAGTTACCTGCATCTGAACTCCTCCAGGCTGAATAGAGAGACAGGAACACATGTAGCACCAGGAAACTTGCCTGCCTATCATTTCCCAACTCACTTACCAAATGGTTTTAATTAAGGTTTGACCATCGGTTTCTCTTAAGTAAAATCCCTAACAACACATCTAATATCCAGAGTAAATGGAACAGAAGGGTAGTTGAGATGGAGGCCTGAGATGGAGGTTAGAGGTGAGAGCAGTTTCTGCTTTTCAAAGTTATTCTTCATTCTCTGATGTTTGTTAGTCTCGAATGAGATTTTTACTCCTAAGAATTATTTTCTGGGTTACAGTCCAGTAAAATACGAGAAAATCTCCAGCTCTGGGGATGCTGGAGGCTCAGATAATTTAGTTTATTCTCACTTTCCTGCTCAAGGTCTGTCACCATGTCAATCCCTGCCACCTTACCTGGTTGACCTGCTTGGGCAATTTGCACCCCACTAAGCATTGACTGCTGCTGGCTTGGAGCACCTGTCATCTGGACCTGCTGTAATCCTGAGGCTCCTGCAAGGATTGTTCCAGTTCCTGGCTGGCCTGGCTGGCCAGGTCCACTGCTGCCTGAAGGTCTCCAATTAGACAGCCCTTTTCCAAAGGCAACAGCTGCCACCAAGGCATTGGTGTCTGTAGGGTTAAAGGTCTGCTTGTTTGGCCGGAGACCTGAAGAAAAAGGTGAGTGAAGACCATGAGGTATACCTCTGATTACAAGTAGGAAGACTAGTAATGAGTATCAGGGCTTAGAGTTCTGACTTCAGAAGTATCTAGACTCCCTGATAGCCCAGAGGAAGAGCCAGAGGACCCCACAACTACCTCAGAATTCTCCCTTTTCATTTTGCTCATTTCCTCTATCTGCTCCAGGGCTGGACTTAAGCACAAAAGGCTAACAGAATGGATGTATACCCTTCTTAAGCAGCTCATTCTTACATCCTCACTTTGCTACTACCAAAATCACCATTCCTGTAAAAGTGATCTTATCCCTCTTTCCTTCTCCATTTTGCCACCGATCCCACCATACCTCCACTCTCTGATTCTCGTTCCTCTTTGCTGATTTTCTCCAGAAGGTTTGAGCACATTTTATTCAAGCTTTGGATCTGCTTCTGTAACACACAAATTGGTACAGAAATTAGGGCAAGCAAGAAATGAATGTGGGGAAGTTGCTTTCTTGTGCTCTTTTAGGGGCAATTTATATGCAATCGACTGTGCATCTCTACCAGACAGCAATGGTAAAGCCTAGCTTCTCATGATGGGACTTGGGGAATGGGGGCAGCAGGGCAGTGCATCAGTCCAACCTGAGCTGCATCAGCACCAATGCGGGCAGCATCTGTTGTCAGTTGCTTCTCTTGCTCTTCAACCTCAGGGTCAGGCTTGGTTCTCAAATGGTCAGGGACCACTTCATGGCTGAAAACAGGTACTCGTCCTTCAGTCTGCCTCTGTAAAACATAGATTTTATTAATCATCCTATGCATTCCAAGAAGATTCCATCTGGCCTGATATACAGTTCCTGCCACAGGCAAACAGTGCATTGTCAGGGAAAATATAGCCTAAGACTTTAATGTTTAGCTTCCTAGGACACTATACCCCTCACTCCATCCTTCATTTCGGTCTCCTCACACCCTTATCTCTACCAGACATGGGCAACTCTCTGCTACATTTTCATCAAAGACTAAAATATATAAAGTCATATATATATATATATATATATATATATATTTTGCTCTAGATGGGTGTTGGATGAGAAAGGTCTTTGCCTTGGTGACATGGTCTTCAGGTTTACTTAGGATTAGCTCCCCAACTCTAGAAGGACAAAGGGCAAGGCCTCTAAAATGCAGCCCTCACTATTTATTGCCACACACTACTCCACAATCAGAACTTCTAGAATAACCAACCAACAACCGTGCTCTAGGTCCTTATTTAAGAACTTAATTTCCCAAGTTGTGTCCTGCTTTTCTTACCATGAGATCTTCATCACGGTCTGGGGACAACACCAGAGGGATAATGACCTGGTTACGGAACAGTGGTGTCTTTTCATGCTTCAAGACCTTGTTCAGAGTGTTCAACTGTCCAGAGAGCAAGGCAAAGCTGTCTAGAACAGAGGGCCTGGTGGTGATAAGAAGGTGTCAGAATGTTTCCAGTAAAGTAGCCTCAAAGGGGTCCTTCAGATTAGGAATCCCAGACTCACCCCCAAAAGACTCACAGCCCTATGGTTGGACTGGGTGGGAACCAGAGTAGCTTATATGGATTGTGAGGTTAGGAAAGAGGGATACACTTTCAGTTTCTGACACAGATGGAGAAAAAAGTTAGTTCAATATTGGAATGGGGTGAGGAACAGTGGCAAAATAGGAACCATGGCTACACTGTTATCACTAAAAATTCAGAAACTGAGTAAAAACCTCCTTTTTGGTCTGGAGATAGGAACTATACTTCCAGAGTAGGTTCGACTTAAAAGACTCACTAATATCTATGGTAAAAGATCCAATATCACCTTTGTATTCCTACTGTGGTGGGAGGATCTCTTTCCAGAGAAGTCCAAGGGTGAGAATCAAAAGCTAGGAAGAACCTTGGTTGGGAAACTGGGCATTTCTCCACTTCCTTGCCATGGAGGCCCTAAAATACACTTCATTTGCTAAATGCTGGGAAAACTAGCTTTTAACAAATCATAAGATGTTTGTAAACTGGTAAGTGGTTATATCACTGGAGGTGTCCTATTCACCAGGAGGCCTGCCCCCCCACCCCACCCATGAAGCCCTCCCCAAATTACCCTGGCCACCCTTACCAGGTCAACCGGTCATACTCGTTCTCCAACTTGTAAATGAAACTCCCCAGTGAGTTCTTCAGATCAGCCACTTGACTCAGCAGTGCATCTAATGATGCCTCAAGCTGCTTCTCCTCCCTCTGTACCAATAGGAACAGGATGGTTACCCAGATGAGTGTGAGTATGACATACAAAGGAAGGCCAAAAAGCCAGGATGACAGTGTGCAACACTATTAAGTAACAAAGGACCTCGTTGGCATAGGAGAGTCGGGTTGTTTTCTATCTTTGGTATTTGGGTTACAGACAGCATCAACCCTTAGACCTTTCAACCTGTTCACCTGACGTCAATTCCTCCTACCAACTGATTCCTTTCTCCATTACCTCCTAATCCATGCCTGGTTTTTTCTCTATATTAGGTACACTCTATTCTCTCTCATTGAGAAATTTTCTCCAGACATAATGTTTGGATTTATTATCTTTTGTGGACCTCTGCAGCATATTTACTCCTCTGTCCTAGAACTTGTCTTGTGAGCCGGGCTGGTTTTGTCAATGGCACATGGTCTCTGAGAAACCTACCTACACATGAAGATTTCTCGGAACACTGACTGGCCTGGCACCACTACCACCGCACCCCTGCCCCAACTCTTCACTTGCCCTCAGCATTTGATGTTCCAACCTCCTCCTTGCTGAATTAATCTGCACTTGTTTTATCTCTGTGCCAATATTCCTGTGCCCCTTTCATAGGCTTAGTCAACCTATAAATGTTTACTGACAGACTACCAGGTGCAAGAAACTAGATGACAAGTGAAAAACAACAACAAAAAATGCACATGTCCTGCCCTGGCCGGTTTGGCTCAGTGGTTAGAGTGTCAGCCTGCGGTCCAGAGAGACCCGGGTTCGATTCCAGCCAAGGGCACGTGCCCCGGTTGCGGTTCCTCCCCAGCCCTGGTTGGGTCGTGTGGGTGGCAACCATTGGATGTGTCACTTTCACGTCTATGTTTCTCTCTCTCTCTCTCTCCCTCCCCCTCTATCTGAACAAAAAATGGAAAACCGTCCTTGGGTGAGGATTTAAAAAAAAAAAAAATGCACATGTCCTAAGCACCAAACAACTGTAAATGCTGGGGGGCCTGCAAAGCAGTTTCTTTCCATCTATTGCCTCCAGTTTTACTTCATATCTTCATCCTTAACAACTATACGGCACAGGGTGGGAAACGTCTTGCAAACTTGCTAATGTGCAGGGCAGGAGCCTTGATCCTGGGTTCCACCCACGGCCTCAGATTATAATTAGCTTTAGCTTTTGGCCACTGGGGTCCCACAATTTCTTCATCCCTCAGCTTCTCTCCCAATTACAAATCCCCTATTATTTCTGCATCTAACAACATCCATCGACAGCCGAGTCCAACAGCCGAGCCCCAGGCCTGGGCCAATGCACCCCTTCCTCCCTCCCTCCCTCCCTCCTTTGTTATCCTCACCCGAGGGCATTTTTCCATTTTTTCTTCAGGTAGAGTGGGAGGGAGTGGGAGAGAGAGAGAGAGAAACATCGACGTGAAAGGGACACATCGAGTGGCTGCCACCCACACGAACGACCAACCAGGGCCGGGGACAAACTGCAACCGAGGTACATGCCCTTAGCGGGAACCGAACCCGGGTCTCTCTGGACCGCAGGCCGACGCTCTAACCGCTGAGCCAAACCGGCCAGGGCTCTTTCTTTCTTTTTTTTAATCCTCACCGGAGGATACTGTTATATTTATCTTCGGACAGAGTGGGAGGGAGGGAGAGGGAGAGAAGGAGAGAGGGAGAAAGAGAGATATCGACGCGAGAGAGACACATCCACGGGCTGGATCCCACACGACCCCAACCCGGGCTGGGGAGGAACCGCAACCGGGGCACGTGCCCTTGGCTGGAATCGAACCCGGGACTCCCTGGTCCACGGGCCCACGCTCCAACCGCTGAGCCAAACCGGCCAGGGCAACCCGCCACTTTCTTGAGCCGTCTTCCTTAGAATGCATCTCAGCCTTCCCAAATTATAATCTGATCCTTTCCACAACCCTTGTGAGCCCTGTCACAGTGCGCTTCCTCCCTCCGGATTTAGCCGTAGTCTGTCTCCAGTCAACCAGGCTCCCACTTCACCTCATCTCCGCCTTTCCTCTCCAGGAGGCCTCGCCCCTCCACCCCAGAGCCGCGTGCTCTGCCCCCTCCTCTCAGCCCAGCTCCCCATCGTCTCCTCTGTCCGCCTATTCTCGGTCCGGTTACCCAAAGCTAACTGGCAATCAATAGCCCCAACCCGCTACTCACCTGCATAGCGGCAGCAGTGTCCGCGGCAACGACCTCCTCTTCCGGTTTCCAAGTCAGCGAGTCACGCTGAGAGGGCTTCTTCCACCAATCAGAGAGCTCATGACTCGTCCCGCCCACTCACTTCCTGTTCCTGCCAGGTGCGAGGTAGCCGGGTCAGGGGTCACAAGTGGAACATCTTCTCGGGCCCGGGCCGGCGCGGGAGCGCTGTGTGATGGCCTCGGAGCGCCCGGAGCCGGAGGTGAGGGGCAAGCGGCCGCAGCGCTGGTCCCCGAGATCCGAGGGGGAGGACCCGGCGGCCTGGCGTGGCCGTGGCCTCCTCCGGGTCTGGGGTCGACCGGGCCTCGTAGCCTGGGCGGGGACCGGCCCAGCCCCGAAGGCCCATCCATTGAACCTCCTTTCTGGGGTTCGCAATTTCCTCAGGGGCTAAAGGACAAACTCATTGCTTTGTTTTGTTTGCTGAAGTTTCAGCCACGTTGCCGGCTCTAGGGCTCTCGGGTTCTTTGACCTAATAATGGTATTAACAAAATCTGTATTTTGATTTTCTGTTGCAGTTTCAGCGGAAAACAGGGCGATAGACTTACTTTGCCGGTTTCTGCATTTCTCCAAACATCGAAATCCCATAAACAGCATGAAATAATTTATTTCTAGCGCTCATGCTTAGCGAAAGCAGCTTTGGTTTCGTGAAAATATTTTTAACTCGGAGTGAAGTCTCCTTCCAGTATTGCACAGATAGCTAACTTTGGGCAAGTTTTGACTTTCCAGATCTTGTTTCCTTCTTTTTAAGATAACCTGTCTGATGGTGTGTTGTGAGGATCACGTGTATTAAGCCAGAAATGCATTTGAGGTATTCATTAGGTGGTAAGGACCACACAAGGAACTTCATATACCTTGTGTTATTCAAACTTGTGCAAAGAAAGTGGTAATTCCCCATTCTCATTTATAGATAAGGAAACTGGAAAGTGAGGGAGATTAAGTACCTTATCCAAGTGCTACTCAGTTGGCGAGTAGCAGAATTCTGGAGTTAGAAGCCCTGAGCATAAAATTGCTCCGATTTAGAAGGAACAACATCACTAGGAGAGGTGTCCAGTATTACAAGAGAATATATGAGTAGGTGGGAAGGGTGAGGGGTGTGTATGATGACACAATAGTAGTCATTACTTACTGAATGCTTACTGCATACCAAACACCAATTTAAGCACTTTACCAATACCAATTAATGCCCTCAACCCTATGAAGTGGACACTATTATTCCCATTTTTTTATCTTGTGGAAGTAGGCACAAAGATATTTAGAGAAACAAGGTTTCACAGCTAGTAAGTAGTAGAGCCAGTATGCCAGAAACAGGTGGCCTGGCTCCAGATCTTATGTTCTTAACCATAATATTTATAGTATAACTAAGAAAGTAGCCACAGGATGGTAAATCTGCAGTTTATTGGGATTTGATGTGATGAGACCCAAGATTAAGTAGGAAACTATGTCTTATTTAAAATAATCAGACAAGTTCACGGGGTTGGTAGAATAGTGCGTGCGTTAGAAATAACCAGTATTAAGAAAAACCATGAAAGCCCTGGCTGTTTGGCTCAGTGGTTAGAGCATTGGCCCGCGGACCAGAGAGACCCGGGTTTGGTTCCCACTAAGGGCTAGTACCTCGCTTGCAGTTTGTCCCCAGTCCTGGTTGGGGTCTTTTGGGTGGCAACCAGTCGATGTGTCTCTCACATTGATGGTTCTCTCTCTTCCTCTCTCTTTCCCTCCCACTCTATCTGAAGATAAATGCAAAAAATGTCCTCAGGTGAAGATTTAAAAAAAAAAAAGAAAAGAAAAACCATGAAAGAATTTGTAGTCTATTTTGTTATGGATTAAAATGAGAGGAAATAAAATTAACTTTCTAGGCAGATCATTTAAAACAGCACTGTCCCATAGATATCTAATGTAACCATATATCTAAACTTTCTAGTAGCCACATTTAAAAAGGTAAAAAGAAAACAGGAAAAAATTTTAGTAATGTATTTATTTAACCCTGTGTTTCCAAAATATTACTTCAACTTGTAATAAATATTTTAAACTTACGAGATATTTAACATTCTTTTTTTGTACAAAATCATTAAAGTCCAGTGTGTGTTTTACATTTCAGTACATATCATTTTGGACTAGCAACACTTCAAGTGCTCAGTAGCCCCATATAATAGTAGCTACCATATTGAACAGTGCAGATCTAAAGTAACTGAGTTGAAACACACTCCTGGGAGTCTCATTCAACCAAAGGTTAAACATTTGTTAAGTTCTTGATTTGCATTTCTGAAAATTTTATTTCAGGAAGTAAAAGGAGTGAAGAGTTCTGCCCCTGGGCAGAAAAGTGCTTGGCTTTTAGGATTGGGCATAGTCAGATTTAAGAAATCATTCATCGAATACTTAAAATATTTTGAGTGCTGCTATGGATTCCCAATTGTGCTAATTATCAGGGTGGATATGGAGCAGTATAAGACATGTTCCCTATTGTAATGGAGTAAACAAACATTGATTATGATGATAAGTGCTGCAAAGGAAAAATACAGAGTGAATCAGTGTTTAACAGGTGGTTCTTAACCTACTTTGTTAAGACATAGTGGGGGCAGGGGTGGATTTAGGAAGTCACTTCAGAGGAATGACATTTAAGCCTTCAGAATAAGAAGCTGCCCTGGCCAGTTTGGCTCAGCGATTAGAGCGTTGGCCTGCGGTGCAGAGAGACCCGGGTTCGGTTCCGCTAAGGGCGTGTACCTCGGTTGCAGTTTGTCCCCGGCCCTGGCTGAGTCGTGTGGGTGGCGGCCACTCTGTGTACCTTTCATGTTGATGTTTCTCTCTCTATTTTCCTCCCACTTTGTCTGAACAAAAAATGGAAAAATATCCTTGGGTGAGGATAAAAAAATAATAAAATAAAAGAAAAGAATAAGAAGCTATCCATGAGAAGAGTTTGAGGGCATCATAGGCAGAGGGAATAGTGAAGATCCTAAGTTGAAGAGTGTAGAGCCTTCAGAGAACTGAGAGGAAGCAGCTGCTAGTGTAGGTGGATAGTGTGACAATGAGAATCGTTAACATTGAGTGATTACTAAATGTCATCTAATACTTCTATAATCCCCATGAAATAGGTACTGTTATCCCCATTTTACAGATGACGAAACTAAGGCACAGAGAGTTCAAGTAACTTCACCAAGGCCTTATACTAATAAGCAGCAGAACCAGCTTTTGATCCTAGGGACTCTGACTCAGGGGGAAATAGGTGAGAGATGAGACTGGAGAAAATTTCAGGTTGAGGCTATGCTAGAGTTTCAGGACTTTGTCATAGTTATAGTGGTAAGGAGGCTTCAGACAGTGGGGGGCGGTCTACATTTTTCATGGGACTCTTAACAGAAAACAACACAGGGCTTGGATTATATTTTAACCACAAAAAAACAAATTAATGAGATGGGAATGTTTCCTGCTCCTTGTGTACATGATGTGCAGTATAGCACCTGATGATGTTTTATTCATCTTGTTATAAATGGTATGTAGGCCTCAAAGAATGTTCTAAAGAATGATAGGCTTCCTCTATCATTGTTCTGACTCTCCTGTTTAATTGCAGCAATGTCCTTATGAAGTAGATATTCTTATCTACGTGTTATCAATAAAGAGACTGATGCCTGGAAAGATTAACTTGTCCAAACTCACATAGATTGTAGTAGTAGAATCAGATTTGACTCCAGATCTCTTGACTCCAAAACCCTGCTTTCTCTTTGCCAGACTACTCCAAGAGTAATGCACTTCCAATTCAGGGGAATTAAATATTAGGGACTTGAAGCTTCGTATAAGTGTAGACACTGAGAACGCAACTGATTCAGGGATTCTTTTTTTTTTTTTTTTTTTTTTTTAATTTTATTTTTGTTACAGATGTTTCTCCTTTTTTACCCCATTGTCACCCTCCTCCTCTTCCCCCCTACCCCGTCTCCGGCATTGTTGTCCATGTTCATTGGTTATGCGTACATGCATATAAGTTCTGTGGTTTATCTCTTCCCTCCCCCCCCCACCTCCTCTTCTGACAGTTGTCAGTCTGTACCCTACTTCCACGTCTCTGGGTCTACCCTATTCCTCAGACTGTTATGCTCATTATATTTCACAAATAAGTGAGATCATGTGGTATTTGTCTTTTTCTGCTTGGCTTGTTTTGCTTAGGATAATACTTTCTAGGTCCTTCCGTGTCATCTCAAAGGATAAGAGATTTTTCTTTCTTACCGCTGCATAGTACTCCATTTTGTATATGTACTACAACTTTTTTATCCATTCGTCTATTGATGAACACTTGGGCTGTTTGCAGATCTTAGCTATTGTAAATAGTGCAGCTATGGCCCTGGCCGGTTTGGCTCAGCAGTTAGAGCATCGGCCTGCGGTCCTGAGAGACCCGGGTTCGGTTCCCGCTAAGGGCATGTACCTCGGTTGCAGTTTGTCCCCGGCCCTGGTCGGTCGTGCGGGTGGCAGCCACTCGATGTGTTCCTTTCACGTCGATGTTTCTCTCTCTCTCTCTGTTCCTCTCCCCCCCCCCCCCCCACAATCTACCTGAACAAAAAATGGAAAAATGTCCTCGGGTGAGGATAAAAAAAAAAAAAAATAGTGCAGCTATGAACATGGGGGTACATATATTCTTTCTGATGGGTGTTTCAGGATTCTTAGGGTGTATTCCTAGAAGTGGGATCACCGGGTCAAATGGCAGTTCAATTTTTAATTTTTTGAGGTAACACCATATTGTTTTCCACAGTGGCTGCACCAGTCTGCATTCCCACCAGCAGTGCACTAGAGTCCCCTTTTCTCCACGCCCTCGCCAACACTTGTTTGATGATTTGTTGATGGCGGCCATTTGATTCAGGGATTCTTAAACATTAAAGTGAAAGAATCACTTGGGGAGCTTGTTAAATGTAGATTCCTAAACTGTATCAACTCTAATTCATTTTGTTTGGGGTGGTACCCAAGAGTCTGCATTCAAATAAGCACCTCAGGTAATTTGGATGCAGCTGGCCCTTGGATTACACTTTG